ACTGGTTCACGCTTTAAAAAGTCATAAAATTCTATACAGTTCATTTGAAAGTTGTATTTGACAGAAATAATGTGCTTACTTTTAACTGGGTTTTTTTCATTCGTCCACATTTATTCACCAATGAAAATATTCGTTCGACGATGCATTAGATCCAGGGAGACAAAGAAAATTCTACAATTTTACAAATGTTTTTGAAAGCATTTTTTTGCTGTAAAATGTTCAAAAATCTCAACCCACTTTTGATGGCAGGGCTTGTTATTCTGTCGCCATTCGTCGATCTTTTCGTTTGTGACATATTTTTTTACACACAAAACTTCATCAAATAATTCACTGTCGAGTGTATTTACAGACCAATGATTCAAAATAAAAATCTAGCTTTCCTCTATCTTCACCCACAAAGGGATTTTCAGTAATGTGACCCATTCAAACACCTCTACTTCAATAAAACACATGTCCCAATTATTTAGCACGTTAACAGTAAGTATGTCACATGCTCGAGCCCCCGAAGATTGTCGACAAGTGTCGACGAATGCTCACCAACGCTCCAAGTGTATCATCCACCAACCAGAAAGTTAAAAAACTATCACAAAAATCCCAATAAGAGTGTCCGCCCCTTGGTACTGTCAAAGGGCTGTTCGGTTGGTGACACACTGCACTACTGCACTCTATGTAGCAATGTATGGACATGATGACAACACTGATCACGATGGCATACACGAAACTAACTTGTTCAATATATTATTAAAAAAGTTTTTAAACTTTGCATTGAATTTACAAAATAAAAGACAAAATGCCTATTTTATAAAATAAATAAAGTTAGAGGACAGAGCAGTGAAATAAAGGACGTATGGTCACCGTAAGTATATAAAACAAGTACAGTAGAGCGTAGTTTATCCGAATCAATTGGGGACTGGGGTTGTTCGGATAACTTATTTTTCGGATAACCAATTATGTACGAAAAAATATATTAATTTATCCCGTGTTGAAATTTTTCTCCATTGCGTGTCGTTTCACGTTGAATTTTCGTTGATGTTAAGCCTAACAAAGACTATTGTATCGTTAAAAATTATTTTTTTATTTTGTACGAACAAAATAAATATATTGGAAAATATAAAAACAATAAAAAATTNGACGAAGACTATTGTATCGTTAAAAATTATTTTTTTTTGTACAAACAAAATAAATATATTGAAAAATATAAAAACAATAAAAAATTATACTTTAGAAGTTAATTTAGTATCAAAAACGTAAAATATTTGAGTAGCCAAAGACATAGCCAAAGATTACAGCACCACAGCACTGGCAAAAATTTAAATTTGTCTACTGGAATTCCTTCGGATAACCGACGTTTCAGATAACTGACCTTTGGATAAACGACGCTCTACTGTAGATGGGCCAAAAAAAATACTTATTCTACTAAATATATCTGTAAAGTCATATTTAACCAATTAATGAATGTTTGTTTATATTATTATTTGATGAAACAGTATCTTTCTTTTTTTTTTTTTTTTTCCTAAAATACTTATACTTTAAGCTTGTTAAGCACTTTTATAGTCTTTGAAATTCAAATACTTTCAAGTATATTGTCACCTAACTTCAAGAATATAATTGGAACAGACAATTTCATTACGAAATGTGAAATTTGGAATTAAATTTAAACAAAAAATTAAATAATTTTTTAATTAGTTTGTTTGTTTTTATTACATACAGGTCATATGAAGAATTTGCACAGTATCTAGTGATTAAATGTTTCTTTAGTTCTATTGAAAGAAGTTAATTGTTTTTTTATTAATTTCAATTAGAAAAATAACTTAATTTTTTTATCTAATACTTTTAAAAATTATTTTTGGATTTATCTTTTTCTATATTTTAATATCAACTTGAAAAGTTTTCTAATAATTAAAAAATTATTAATTTTATATTAATTGTAAATATTGAATATGTAAATTATTTCAAATAAATTATTAATATATTAATTTTAAAAGAATTGCTGGTATTTAATTAAATAAATATTTATCTAATATTTAAATAATAAATATTTCCTTAAACAAACCTGTATTGTTTATTTTAATTAGAAAAATATCTTATTAAATATATTTTTTTGCTGTTGTTTTGAATACAACAGCAAAAAAAAAAAAAAGCTTTTTTCAACTAAGGTTGGAATAAATTACTTGAAAGTCAAATAGTGACTTTACAATGTGGGTGTAGTGGAAGTGTGGAATTACTAGAAATTTTTAAACATGCTTGTTTGCTTGCTTTTTATGGGAAAGTGGTAGATTGTAATAAGCTGTTCAATCTTTACTTTTCATAATAATTCTAAGTTATATTTTATTCCATTTTAAATAAAAATAATTGTTTTGAATTGGTAGGCATTGATTTTAATTACTTGAAATAGTAACATATTTATAGCACAACCATTATCCAAACAAAGTGATTACTGTTTTATGATCATCACAGTATATAAAATCTGTTTTTAAAATGCAAAAAATTCAAGTAAAATATTTATGAATTGCATTATTGTTATTTCTGTATATTATTGAAACAACCAGTTAACATTCAGTCATTCTTTTGGAAAAATATAAAGAAATATGCTCCTAAGATTATATAAATAATTAAAATTTCAAATTTTAATTCTAAAGAAAATGTTAAATTTATACATAGAAACATTTTGATGTATTTCAAATATAATAAATTTTTAAATTGTTTGAGACACTACATAGGTTTTCTGATATGTTACGCATGTTTAAATAATCTCTATATTTAACCAACAGATAATCATGTTTTAAATGAGATATAATAAAATTTTTAATAAATGTAATTTTGTGTCTGTATTTTATAAATAATGATGACTAATAAAAGTTGAGAGTAATAAATTCTTTGTAAAATGAAATTCCAGCCATCTAGTTAAAATATATACTGTATTGTGACTTATCAAATCCTGTAATCAGACAGTATAGTTCAATGCATGCAAAATTTTTGAGTTACCACTTGTTGATACTGTATATAACATAGAGAGAATGTCCATCAGTGATGTCAACTTAGGGTTCCTCCCTAAATTTAGTAGAAAATTTAGTTGAAAAATGTAAAGTCTGCCTAAGTTTAGTTAGTAATGTTTCAATGACAAGTAGGAGCTTCCAAAGGTCACGTGATTCATGAATGTTTTCATGTGAGAATCTCATGGCAAGCTCTGGAGCAGGCCACTTCATAAATGATACTTTTATTCAACTGTGCCCACACTGCCTGCACCCTGAAGTGAAAATTGTGTTTCTCTGGATTGTCAAAAGACTAATATTTTTTTTGCTATGCACTGCACTTGGAGCAAACCTATTTTAGGAGGAATTTGTTTTAGTTTTTATGGGTGAACTCTTAGTTTTAGGAGAATTTCATGCCTGTTTAGGGGTCTTCACAACAGAAGGTTGGCAACCTGATGTATTACTATCAGTCACTAGTTACTTTTTGCTTGTGCAGTTGGCAAAACAGTCACAATTGTTATTAATATGATAAACTAGACTGTAAATCAAGTGCTTTTTTTACTGTACAATATGTATGTACGTACATAACATAGTAATCTGATGACAATCTGCTGTAATTTGACATCTGCCAATTACTTTTAATTACTTTTTTTCTGTTGTTAATTAAATATATTTATTATATATATATATATGATGTCATTTATTTATTTATAATAATACATAGTTATAATATAATGTGTGTATATATATATACAAATTATATTATAACTATCAGGTCAGTCCATAAGTTTGTGCGCATTTTTATCTACAAAAAAAGCAACAAAAAATTTTAATTAAATCTTATTTCAATCTATAATGTATTCACCATTATTTTGTACAATTTCTTGCCATCTTGATGGTAGCTTTTTAATCCCGTCTTTGTAAAATGATTTCGGTTTTGAATCAAAATATTCAGAAATAGCCTTTTTTACATTGTTCTCATCCTCAAAAGTTTTTCCTTTTAAAAAATTCTGCAAACTCCGAAAAAGATGATAATCACTGGGAGCAATATCTGGCAAATATGGTGGATGAGGTAAAATTTCCCAGTTGAAGCTTTTGAGTTGAGCAGTTGACGTTGTTGTCAGTTAGCTATTGACAGTTCATGTGGTATCCATTTTCCTAGCTTTGAAACTTTTCCGATTTGTTGTAGATGTCTATGAACAGTTCCATGGGATGAATTTAAACGTTCCGCAATTTCATCAACTGTTAAAGATGGTTCTGCTTCAACTAGTGCAGAGAGAGCATCATCATCAAAGTCAACAGGTCTTCCAGTACGAGCCTTATCCTCCACACTAAAATCATTATTTCTAAATCTTTCAAACCACTTCTGCGCAGTCCTTACACTAATTACAGTTTGATTATGAACAGTATTTAATTTTTTGGCTGCATTTGTAGCATTCTCATCACTTAAAAATAAAAAGTATAAAACACGTCTCATATTCATCTGTTACTTCCATTTTAACAAAAATAAACAACTGAAATGTTCCCAATTCTGAACAGTATTATATGAATGAGATCCAATTTAACACTTCAGTGTAAAAAGTATCACATTAGACTGGCATTTTTAACAGCAAAACAAGATTTTTCTCAAGGTCATAAAATAGGCAGGAACTTATGGACTGACATGATATGTGTATATATATATATGTACACATTATTATAACTATGGATTATTGGACCAAAGTTTGAAATGATCAGTTCAAATGTACAGTACAACAAAGCAATCATTATTTTATGTTCACTGATCTATATTGTAAAATACAGATTTTTATTAGTTATGGTACTGTATTGTCAACTAGATAACATCATTTTAATTTCTAATCATATTGTGTGTTTGTGTTGTACAGATTTCAGTTATTAAAAATATCAGAGTTGTATAATTATGTTTAGGGGTATTATATAAATGTAGTCAGTTGATAAAAAAATATTTATTTCAAGTTCTTGTAGCAATTTTTAATATGCTGAAATTTTTTTTTATTAATTTTCTAGTGGTAGCAGTGATGAATATGTATATGAAAGTAATACTCCAGATTCGAGAGATGAATTGTTAAGTCCGACACCATTTTCCCTTTCCTCCCATTCTCCTGTTCTGTCACCTCGACCTCCGTGTTCTCCTCACCGTTTAAAGGGGAAAAGAGAGCGTACATGGTCCATGACGAAGTCAGGTTCATCTAGAGAACCGGTATTAAGGACACAACAAAGAACGATATATACAGCTGGTCGGCCACCATGGTACGACACTCAAGGACAGTTAGTAGAGCCATTTGTTATTGGTGAGATTTTAAATGTGAAATTTTTTATGCAGCATATTGAAGATTATTGGTTGCATTTTATAGAAAATCTTGATCTGTTGCTCTAGGTATTTGTGGGGGAAGTGCTTCAGGAAAAACAACAGTAGCACGTAAAATAATTGAAGCACTAGATGTACCTTGGGTTACATTATTAAGTATGGATTCTTTTTATAAGGTAAATTTTTTTTTTAAATTCCAAATTTAAATCTTTTTATCTGATCTTTATAAATCTGCATTAAAAAAAAAATAGAATTTTGTAAAACTATTTTGAAAGAATTATCATGATAAATTAAAATGCTCAACTTCTCCAGGAAAGGTCAAAAAAGAAAATTTGTGATTTATTTGTTAAACATGTTTAACAGAAGCTATTACTTAAATATGGTAGAGTAAAAATATTGTTTAAACATATCTTGAAAATATCTTTGCACAAATGAATAAAACTGAATTCAAGATCTTTGACTTCATATACAGTTTCTGTATATGAAGTCAAAGATCTTGAATTCAGTTTTTGTTGTTACTTCAAACTGAATACACTTATGATCTCATATGAATATAGGAATATAAAGTATATGAATGTCGTCAAATTTTAGGATTTACTAAAATTTAAAAATTGAAACTTTTGACTGCGGAATATAATATACACAGTCATCGTGGAACAAGAATGTTTGCCTCATATGGTGGATCACTTTGAAATTGTCTGCAAAATTCATATTGCACAATGATGAAGGATTCTGAACTGTCTAACAGTTTTGCAAACTGTGGAATACAAAAATGCTTTTACTGTTACAGTGTCACCATTTTTATTTAGTGTTTTTTCTAGAGGCAACAGACAAAAAGACATTTGTATGCAGATGGCAGATGAAATTTGACATATATTCTCTCAATTGATGTGCATTGGATACTTCTCAAGGGATAAATATTGATATCATTTTTAAATTACTGTAATTTTCTTTTTGAAGGCCTGTATTTTCTAAACTTTTAAATATTTCAACTTAGTAAAACAAAATTTCAAACAATTATGTTTTTTGAATTACACATAACAGAAAAAAGTTAAGATGTCATCCTAAGTTAATTTTATCATATAACAATCACCCCTTTAGAAATCCAAATATTAACTTACTGGCCCAAAGGTCTTTGGGCCAGTAAGTTAATATTTGGATTTCTAAAGGGGTGTAATTGTTATATGATAAGGTCTTTGGATCACTCAGGATAAATTACCAGTACAAATTATCTTCATTCCTGATACATGTTGACAAGCCCATTGAAAATCAAGCTTTCTCATAATGGGTGAGTTGGAGCTGACCATTTTGACCAAAGTTGAAATTTGTGAAACCAAACAAAACTGAAACTATTATGAAATTAATGAAGTCATTATGAAACATTAACAATGAATAAATAAAGATGTTCAGAGAAGATTGATTTTGTTGATCAATGTTAATACGAGGTCTGTTCAAAAAGTATTGAACCTTTTTTTTTCCGCGTAAACCAATGATGCGCAAGAGGCCTCCTTCGGTGGAGTTGTGGAGGGGACAGTCATGAACAGCCCTGAATTTTTTCCCGCCTGCAGGAAGCGTCAGTTGTTGGCAATCGGCCTATGAGTAAGGTCATGTAGTGCGCTCTCGTCGGATTCCACTAAGCTGGAAAATGACTGAATAACGTGAGCAGCGATATTACATCAAATTTTGCCAAAAACCTTGGCGATACCCGAGCATAAACCATTCGCAAAATTCAGCAGGCTTTCGGGGACGATCCTCGAGGCCAAAAAAAGCGCGGCAGGTTCGCAGCAATATCAAAGATCATGTTGACAGTTTTTTCGACTTTCATAGGGTGGTGTGTCATGAGTACGCACCACAAGGCCAAACCATCGCAAAAGAGTACTACCAGGAGGTACTTCGTCATCTTTCCAATACAGTGCGACACAAACGACCAGATCTGTGGTTGATCAAAACTTGGCAGCTCCATCATGATAACGCATCCGCCCATTCTGCACATCTGATTCGGGCTTTCGTCGCCAAACACAAAACTCCTGTGGTTCGTCACGCTCCGTACTCTCCCCACATGGTTCCATGTGACCTTTGGCTATTTCCCAAGCTGAAAATGCCACTAAAAGAAACCCAAATTTAGTCGAGAGAAGACATCGTGCGGAATCCGACGGACCGGCTGATGGCCATTCCAAAAGTTGCGTTCCAGCAGTGTTTCCAGCAATGGCAGGAATGCTGGGAGAAGTGTATACATACCCAAGGAGACTACTTTGAAGGGGATTAGGGTTTTGTACCTCAAAGTCAATAAATTTATTTTTGCTGACCAAAGGTCCGTGGTGTGATTTGTTGATCAGTTAAAATACGTGGTGTGTTCAAAAAGTATCGGACCAAAGGTCCGATACTTTTTGAACACACCATGTATTTTAACTGATCAACAAATCATTTTCTAGAAAAGGACAGTTGAGATAAAGATGTGACTAAAACTTTATGAAATTTGAAGTGGTAAGAAAGTCAGTTTACATTATAAATATATCTTATTTATAATGATACCAAATTATACAATTTAAAATATATATATATATATATATATAATGTATATAT